GTAGAATGGAAGATCAATGAATGAGTGCGTGAGTACTAAGAAATGCTATTCAGTTTGTGTGTCTGCAGTGTGTACCATCATGGTAAGATTGCAAGTGACAGCCATGGTTAGAACAAGCAGACAGATTGGGGTAAGAACCAATCTATGGAGTTAGAAATTATTTTAAAATGCACTCAGTTTTCAGGAGAATGGCAACCTTTTAAGGCTTGCTAAGATAAGTGTGGTCAAAGGTACATCTTAAATACAATTCTAGACTGCGTTGTCCAGGAGTCTAAGAGAAACTGGCCTGAAAAGGCCACTCTTAAAACTATGCATCAAGATTTTTGGAGGGCTACAGATGACGATCCATTTGAAAAACTTTTTTCCCATTGAGTAAATAGATGGTACTTAGAGTAGCATCGTGCAGTTATTAAAGCAAAGTGGTTACAATCCACATTCAGCTTCCTGCTGGGTGGGTAGAGAGTGTAGCATGAGGCTTTCAGGAAGTGTTCAATTGAATCTAATCTTTAGTTTGGAGTACTTCTTCCAGCAGCTCTTCCCATCTTCTTCCCATGGTTAACCCTAATGGCCATTCCCTCCTTACCTCAACACTGTGGCATGTATTCTCTCTTCTATGTAAATAATTAATAACATATCAGAGCCTAAGAGGAAACACACAGAATTGTTTTTTAACGCACTCTCCCTCTGGCAAGGTCATGTTTTAGACTCAAAACTTTGGGTCTTTTTCTACTTACATTAGCAATCTGTGAAAATACGGATGGAAATTTTTGCAATTTTCTATAAGTTCAGCGGGGCAGGATGAAAATATGTAGTTGAAAGCATAAAAAGTATTAAATGGAGACTTATTAGCTTCCCTGAATGTATCAAGTGTGATTAATGCTTCCATGTAGATGTGTCTGCATATGTTTATGTGTAGATTCGTACTGTAGGTTCTTCATCCCTGGTAATTAATAGTAGCCTGCATAAATGGTCACACTGGGTTCAGCAGGTTTATCAATGCAAGTAATTATTTACCAGTGGGAATGAAGGGGTTCACAGTTTAGCCCAGAATGAGGCAAATACTGATAACGCACAGAAAGAAGAAAATTACATTATTGAGCAATTGCTTGTTATTACCAGTAATGTTTTCATATTTAAAAAAAAAAAAAAAAACAAAGGATAAACTACTATTAACGAAAAGGGAATGAAAACTTTTTGTTATTGACATTTACAGGCTTCATTCTTTTGTTTTTCCATTGTAGAGTGTGGTAGAATCGTAGTTTCCTGGGATCCAAACCTCAATAAAACCATTACTTTCACTTAGCATCTTAAACCTGTCATTTTCCTGTTGAAAATAAGCATTAAGTTACTGACATTATATGGGAATAATTGAATTGTGTAAATTACCCTTTGGTGCAATATTCCTTAAAGATAACATTGAGATGAGCATGAAGCAGGTAGAAAGCTGTTGATTTGAGAAAACTATTAAACTACATCGGATGTGACTTCAGAATAATAAATACTGAAAGGCTTTGCAGTCATACACAGCATTATATACAGCAAATGGGTGCTAAACAAAATATTTATCTGCTTAATATTGTGTAGGTAAGCAGATGTCCTTGAGTTGCTGCCAGGCTCTATTGAAATGAACAGACTATTTCATAAAGATGAATTTTGCAAACAAATAGGATGTGAGAGACTCGGGCTATTAAAATCCGTTACTGTATCTTTGACCACTGGCAGTTCATTACAATGGGAACCATGCATTCAGGGTTAAGGACTTCAAAGAGCTTTATGAACATTTTTTCCCTAAACATTTTGTAGATGCATGGACACAAGGAATTACTCAGTAAGATCTGTGGCTGAGGGATATAGCCCGGCAAGTTAAAAGTTGCCCGATTTTATGTACTGTGCTGATGGCATTGCTTTTCTTGACTTTCTAATTCAGCTGCTTTCAGTTCTCTGGAGATGGTAAATCCCCAGTAACACAGTGCTATAAGCTAAAAGAGGGAAATAAGGTGGCTGATTTTTAGTGACAATGTTATAAAGGAATTGCAGAGACGTTATAAAGTTTCTCAGAGAGAATAAAAGCCTTTATGGAGCAACTGAGTTAGGTTTCAGCTGTTGTTTCTTCACGTATGAAATTGATCATAAGCAGGGTGCTTTTGAACAACAGTTTCTGGCTTTTAATAGTTAATGGGAGGTTGGACCATAAGTGGAGATCAATCCCAGAGTAATAAATTTTACATTATTATATTTGTCTGTCTTGAAACATAAACACTAGAGGACCTATTCTCAAATGGCTTCTGACCCAATTTTTTTCATAATTAATACAGGAAATTCAAAGAACATGTCTCCCTGTATAGTTTAGACAAAGGCAAATCTGCATTCATCAACACGGATTAATTAGCCTGTTATGGAACACACAGATAATATGAAGAGCTACAAAATGGTCCACTATAATTAAGGGAAAGCTTCGACATGAAAACCATCAGCTACATGTTCTCCTGGATAAAAGATAACTTTATAAATTTTGATGTGAATTCTACATAGCATAAGATGTACAGCTAGATTTTGCAGCTTTACTAACATTGAGCTTGGCAGCAATGCAGCAAGAGTATGGAATTGTTCTTTATTTGTTTATTCCAAGGGCAGCGTTTAGCAAAAATTTGTGACAAAGATTCTCTCTCAATGTAAACAACAGTCTGTCATTGATCTGGAGACTTACTTCTGGGTCATGGTATTCAATATGACTGCACTGTTGCTTGGCAGGCTTTTTCTTTGTCTTTTGCATTAATTAAACACATCTGTTGCAACCGAGAAAAGGAGAATAATGCCCTCTCATTTGAATCTTTTGTAGTACTCTAGCAGTATCTCTAGTGACATCGAGGCATAAGGAGTTGTTTTTCCTCAGCCTTCTCGTTTTGTTTCTTATAAGAACTTCATTTCTGGCACGATACAATATTTTATGAAGTCAGCAGAAAGGCTGCCACTGTTTTTAATGGGCTTTGTATCAAGTCCTTAAAAACAGAATAAATTCTTTCGCTAGAGATACCAATGTGACACATACACAGTATGAAGATCCAAAATCTGCCATTCCTCAACTGGCTCAAGATTTGAGGTCAATATCAGCTGCAAAGAGAACTTTGAACCCAGTAAGGGTGATATTACCCTATCCATCTATCTTTGTTTTGGTTTGTTCTAGAGCTGGAGATTCAGCCATGGAGTGCCTGCAACAGATTGATGTGCATTTCAGATCCCTGCATTTGGGGAATGCAGTGATGGAACAGCAGGATGTTGGATTTGTTTGTTTTTTTCTATGCATTCCTAAACCAGGCAGTTTTTGTCCATGTCCATTGCCAAGCTTTTTTATGTTCCAGCCCTTACCTTTGCTGCTATTTGCTGTGCTTTGCAGCACAACTCTTTATAATGACGATAAGCCTTCATTTCTCTTTGTAGCATAAGTTGAACCTGAGATGCTAGATCTGTTATTGCATTTGTCTTTGCTAGAAAGAGCTGACAAGTTTTCCTACAACACATGGTATTTTGCCATTGAGAAAAAAGCCAAGAGATTTATTTGAAGTGTGGTGCAATCTTGCAATAATGTTGATATAAGTTGAGCTTTAGCACTTAAAATATTATAAATTGATGGCATTGTACTGGAGTAAAAAACAAACAAACAAAAAAATCCAGTAGGTAATTCCATAAAGAGCATTGATGTTAGAAGTAAAAATACAATATCTTTTCAAAAGGGCCAGATGAACTTTTTGAGACTGACTCAAAACAATTTCTGTCAGCTGTAGAGTATTTCTGTGAGACATCTGGAAAGTAAAAGAGTGGTGTAACCATACAACACTTCTTGCTTTCACCTTTAAATTTTGTATCTCTAAGGCTTTTTAAGTTCTTTTTTATGTTCACACCATTTTGGTCAATCTAAAAAGCTAAGAAAAAGACAATTATACTATTATGTACTTACTCTGTATGGGACCATGGAAAAAATGTGCTGAGAATACTTAGTGGAACAAACAGAATTACATTAAATAAAATTAAGGATGTCCACATGGAGAGCCAGTTTACAATAGCTAGGAAAACTAGACTTCTGTATTGATTATGCTTTGTTTCTCCCTCCATGTCATATAGAAGTGGATAGCCTATGGCAACTTCATAAAGGAAAGATCAAGTGCATGCGTAGTTTGCATTCTGTATGCTGTTTTAAGGATAGAGGTTTTAAATGGCAAATGTCCAGATATGCTGCTCTTTTAGTTCATAGGCAATATGCTGGTGATGAAGTTAAGCAACCTGAGTGCTAAGTGGTGCTAGACTTACAACACTTGCTCAAAACAAATTACAAATTCTGTATGTGCACACTGGAAATGATGTGCAAAGATTTCCACTTGTTGAGTATTATTCAAGTAAGCTATTACTTAGATTGTAGACTGATATCTTTTTGTCCTGACATGACACATGAAGTATGTTCCCACTCTTCCATTTGTTATCCCCATCTGTCAAAAGATGATAAACCTCAGATAAATTCTTATCTGCATGTATTTGTTAATGTCTTGTTTTGTTAGGCAAGATGACATATCATATACAGTATATCATTTTCCTTGTGTAAATGAGCTTGATATCTGGAGCTGCTGAGATAACTGTAATGACTTGATTTCTTCTCTATGTAGGCCTAACTTGGGAAAACATGTTTTTCCATTCGTCCTTATTCTGAACGTCACAAAGATGTGTTCTTAGCTTCAAGCATATGCTTAATAACTATTTTGAATAGAAACATGTTTCTGAATCAGAGCCATGATATTTTAAATCTCTTTGTGTGCAACTATGCTCTAATTTATAAGATGCACTAATGTTTAGCTTGATTAAAATTTTTGGAGATGAAGACCCCTTCAAGTTCAAATATAACATCATTGGGCTCTGTTCCCTATACAAGAACACCATCTTCATGAAGCATGTAATTTTCTTCTGGATTTGCATTGACAGAGAATTAATTCTCTTTTATTTCTGCTTTGCAGCGGGAACAACGTATATCTTTAGCAAAGGTGGTGGGCAAATCACTTACACGTGGCCTCCGAATGATCGCCCAAGCACTCGCGCAGACAGATTGGCAATAGGGTTTAGTACTGTTCAAAAAGAAGCCGTGTTGGTACGAGTGGACAGTTCTACCGGGCTTGGAGACTATTTAGAGCTGCATATTGTGAGTATTTCTAAAAAATGCTTATCTATTCATGTCTCAATTGTTATATTTGTGGGTTTGGAGCTTTTTTAAAAATGTGTTTTGTTTTAATGTAAGTATGAACATTTGAGCGTTAATAGTGAGTTTAGATGACCATGGCTCATAGCATACAGTACTGTAAAGGATATCAGACATTCTCAATGTGCCTCTTACTCTACATAGTTTTTCTTTATATGACTTTTAATTTAAAAATCGTGTTGTGACATACGTATATAGCAGCTACACGAATCTAATCACATTAAGTGTAATTTAGCAATATCAGAAGAAGGTGCATTAATTTCAGAGGGTTTAATCTGGAATCTTCTGAAGGAAATACAGTGTATCACAATTGACTGTGCTTTCTGTTAATGCTAGAATTATCCTTTGTTTTCACTGTTGCATTGTGATGATAAATTGTAAGCAGAAAGCAATACTATCGAGCTAGGAAGTCTGAAAAAGTGATTTCAGCTGCCCTAAAGCAAATAACTAGCAATCAAAATTGAAAGCATCTGGATTTTTATGACAACATAAATAAATGATCAGTTGTGATAAACATAACTAGGGCAATATAAAATGTTGTTGTTTAGATTACTATTACTCTCAAATTTGTTAAGTGTATTAGGATGATTTTAACTTAAGAATCTCACTATTTTCCTAAATGGAATAGTTCCTTCTGAATGAAATTACTTATTGATCCATAACCAATTACACTTTTACCCTCAGAAAACGTTCTGCAGCGATCATTTTGAAAACAAGAGGGAAGTTATAGTATTCAGTCTTCCACGTTTTTTTTTCTTCTTTAAAGGCTCTCTTGCATTTTGGACCAAGGTGGCTTTTATATCTATTTATTTGCCAATGATAAGGAAACAGAGAAAGAAGGCCTGAAATATAAATCAGATGTTGCGTATAGTCTTCTCTTACCTTGAAACACATGGGCAAAACATCTGACTGATATTGTAAGATCTTGGTTTAAATGTGTGAACAAAGCACAAAAGCTTGTTTTCTTAAGTCACGCCAAATATCAGGTGCCTAGCTATCATTTCTCTTTACAACCAGAGACGAATTCCACTCAGTGTGGAGAACAATGGTGCTTTCCTCTCATAATGTTATCATCAGCATATGAAGGAATGCATTTCTTGTGGATTTACTATACCTTAAATCTACCAAAATGATAAAATGTGTTCAATCTTCTGTCTAACTCTTGAGTTTTTCTGTTTTAAAACAGAACATTGGATTCAAAATTGAGTTGGAGATCAAAATGCAAAAATTATTGCCAAGTCATAAGTGTTGCTTTTACCCCTGTAGCTTGTTTAAACTCATGCAGGAGCAACAGATAGCATAAATACAAGAATAATAGAGAGCTTTCTATTTTCAGAAAAATTATCACCTTAGTAGAGACAGAGAAAAGTGTCATTTATCCTTCCTCAGTCTTTTGAAACTACTTTAAGTGTCTTACTCTGAGGTGATTGTGGCCTCCTCCATCTTTGCCACAGGCTTTGAGAATCTTTTTCTAAACCCACTGTGGTTCAGAGCAAAATCCGTGGCAACTGTAGAGAGAGTTCTTTTGAATAAAGCTTGACCTTCTGTGAGTTCCTTCTCTTTGTTCTCTCTCTACAGTGGAGACACTATGGGATTGACCTGAAATACTGATATCTGGCAAGATTTTTTAAAATTTAGATAAAGCTAGGAAAACTGATAGGCTATAGTATCTGAGAGTTTGTTTCAAACAAGAATAGTATTCAAGAGGAAGTTTGAAGTCAGCATTTTCAAAAATACTCTCTACCTGGTGCCATGAATCGTATTAAAGTCAGTGGAACTATAGTTTTTCTGTGATGATATTGTGAAGCATTGTAGTTGTAAAAATGAAAGAAAGTAGAGAGGCTCATGTACTTGTTATATTTGAAAAATAGTTTATTAGAATTAAGTTTTTTAGTAGTTGACATTAACTATTCAACTAGCTGGTATAAAAATCGTAGGAGGGTTGTGTCATTCAGAAGAAGGTTTTGAACTGTTGCTTTAAGTAACTTGATCATAGCCTTCACTAGCAAGTCGAGATGGGTGCTTGTTTGGGACATTTCAGAGCAGTGCTGTGAGGGAACTTGCTCTTATCTTTCTTCATTCTAGCAGCGAAAGAGGAAATTACAGGTCTGGTTATGGTACTCTAATGTGTGCTTGCCCTTTTTATTATTCTGTTTACTTAAAAATGATGTAAAGCTAATAAGGAAATCAAGAGCATAACGAATTCTGATTTGGAAAATTGCTACTTGATCATCTAAATCACAGCTTTAATGTTAGATTAGAAACACATTTGTTTTAAGTGATCATTTAACCTCCCGAGATAACAATTGTTAATAGTAGAAACATTGCAAAAAAGTGTATTCTGTATTGCCACCAGATGTTTAACAGTTCCAGTACAAGTATTTTAAATTCCAAGATAGTAAACTATAAAACATCGCCTGTACTGTAGCAGCCTAGATGTAAAAGGGTAGTTGTGGGTATAATATGCATGCATCCCTGTGCTTCAAGAAAGGGGTGTTTGATTTATTTACCCAGATATTCAGAAGTCTGCATTCTCAGCTATCACTTGCCTTCTGTTGTGTAAGTGAAGTAATCTCTTGTTGCAGTTTCTGCTGGAAGATCTAGTTCAAGTAGAAATAGATATTGTGCCTGAAAGTTCAGTTGTCTGTTTTTCAACTTTCTTCTCCTGTTGACAGATGAAAGGACAAATATCTCTGAGAATTCCTATAATTCTCCTTTTTTTTTTTTTTTTTCTTACTGTAATCCTTCTTTTTTCCCCTTCTCTTGGCTTGATCTGCACCCATCTCCATTCCAAGAGGAAAAAGATGGCAGCTTGTTAGTGCAGTGTTCATTAACTACCATGTGCACTTGGCTTTTTCACCCATTTGTAAAGCCCTGACATAATTCTGTCAGTGAATTGCATACCTATCTTGGCTTTTCTTCTCCTCTGCCAAGTCATTAGACAGATAAGCAGATACATATACATGTGTCATTGTCTTTCACAAGCACTGTACTGTTGAAGCCTCAAATTTCCTATATTTCTATGGTGAGGAGCAAAGTAGAACTAGACAAAGGGCCCAAAGGGCTAAAAAAAATTCTGGCAACGCTGATAATACAGTAAGCTGGCATCCTCCAATACAGCACAAATACTGCTTGCTCTATTAGTGGAGACAAAAGGCATAGATTTCTACCAGTACAAAAATAAAAAGAAATTAAAACTCAGCGTAGACTGTGGATAGTTTGTCTGGGATTCTATTTAATATTATTAGAAAATATACAATGGAGAAAGTGAAAACCAGAAGAATTAATATTGTGATGAAAAAAAAGCATGGGAAGCTGTTTTAAAAGATGTGATAATCTTATCTGAAAAAGTCTGATTAAGAATATTCAGTATGAATATTTTCCGTATATGTCACACTTCATTAGCTTGAAATATTCTGAAGATGTAGCATTATTAGCACGATACATTAATCAGTATTGTATTTAGATTTTCAAAATGTGTTTGTAAATCTTTCTGAGTTATGATTAATGACTGAGGAGAACAGGCTTATGAAAGGAAATAGAGAATGTCTTATGGAAAATTGGGTTGTGGATCATAAATAAATTCAGTCTGTGCTCTTTGTCCCATCTATTTATATACTACATCTATTAAAATAAACATTACAGGAAAGGCGTTTTCATTATAAACTTTTTCCATGAGAAAGATATGGACAAAGTCAATTGAAAGTTTTTTTGAGTTTGTGTCATCTTTGGTTCAAAAATTGTTTTGGCTGAAAAGGAAGTTTCCCCATTTTTCTTGGCTATATATAGTTTTTGTATAGGGAATACTTCACTTAATTTTTTTCTAGATTAGTGAAATATTTAGTATCTCCAAATGAAATGTTGATTTTTGTGCAAAGCAAAATAATACTGATGTGAAGTGGTGTGGATTTTCAGCTGGAAGTTCATGGAAAAGTCTGCAGTCCTCTCAATGGATACATTTCTTGGAGCTTTTGGCCTACTGTTGAGGACTGTTATTTATACTCCACTCCCTCAGTCTCCTACTTGCACAAATGCAGTCATCTTCTGCACCAGGTTTTTAATAGCACACTCTGTTAGGTTCTAATGTACGTTATATCTAGACAGCTTTAATTTATGCACGTATAATGACCTTCCTTCAAGTGAACAGAAATAACTCAAAGTAAAACTGGAAAGAGGATCAGAGTTCCGTGTGTGAGCATATCAGAGGAAAACCTGCAGTCTTAGGATAAATGAATTTATTATTCTCTTTTGAGTACTTCACATGTCTTAGGCTTTAATGCTGAATGGAAAGCCAATTGAAAGATTCCTATTGACTTAGTTGCATTTGAATCAATGCCTAGTGAGTCCAGTGTTCTTTCACTGGGACTGATGATAAAAATCCCTTTGATTTTAGTGATTTTTTTGTTTGTTTGTTTTTGGTTTGTAATAATTTTCCCAGTAACACTTGAATAATCTGTAAAAGACATAAATTTTCAAGATAACATGTCTTCTGATAATCTTCTTTCAAATACAGCATTAGTTGTTATTATATATGAATCTACATGATATGAAGATTTGGAATAGCAGTGATTTATATATGCACAGAACAGTAATGACTGTAAAATCTAATTATTTACATCCTGGAAGAGCTTTAAAAAAGAAAAAAAGGAGAGCTGACTTTTGAGAGTCTGGTATTTTAGAAGTGCTGAGCATGCACATGAGGCTAAAGTCAGTGGAAGCTGAATATAGCCAGTACCTCTGAAAAACATGCCAGCATTGTATCAGCTCGGTGTGCGTTAAGCATTGTTATGTCTAATGGTTGTAACATTTAATATGCTTTAAAAACTGTGTGGAACAAGAAAATTACTTACGGATAATGTTATCTAAGCAAGAATTTTGCAAATATTTGATACTTCTTTATAGATACATGATATTTGTTAACATATGAGAATGGAAAAAAACTA